GTAAGCAGAGCACAGGCTGTGGGGATCGAACCAGGTACTTGCAACCTTCACAGAGTTCACAGGAATGGAAGTCCAGGTCTTACAGCTGACGCCACTAGCAATGATTTAAACCTCATTGTTAGCGCAAATGAAATTAATTAAAAATAGCAGGGCTGAACCCTTCAGCTCAGTACAGCTATGACCTTTTTTGATTCATCACAAACAAGGGTTATCTTCAACATTGGTCAGAATAATATTAGATAGAGCAGGTTGCATACTGATGAGGCAATGGAGCTGGTATGAGAGTTGGGGGGGCAGCGGTCTGTGGGTCGACGCTGTCAAAGACTTAGTCAGATTCCTGGAGCTAATCCTATTGCTTAAGTAGCAGCCAGTAGGAGCTATGACTGCTGAAGTACTTGGTGCCCTGCTGAGTCGTCCTTGTTTTGTTTCCTTTGTTTGTATGACTCTGGAGTGTGCAATGACATACAGCCAAGTCGCCTCATGATAAGTTAGGTCTAAGAAGGTATCCTGTAACATTCTGCAGTGTGACAACATTGCAAATTCACTTTTTGAGTTAATGGGAGAAACAGATTTCCATTTAATTATAGGTACTGAGGATAGAGTTCGTCCTGGGTTGAGGCTGCATATGTTAAAAAGATTTTATGTTTAGGTAGATAGTGTTCAATTAATTATGACAAATTGTCTGTATGCTGCATTTTAGATGCTTTAGTACTTTATAAAAGTTTAGATTTTTTAATAATAGGTGGTTTGGTTTAGTGTCTTATGTTTACCCATAATGGCTAATTAGTTGATATTAAGGCAGAGCGTCTTATCCTGAACTCTGCAGGGAGCCAGTTTAGTTTAAATCTCTAAAACAGACGTGAATCTGATTTTCATTCAAACGTCACAATGACAGAAACATTTAACCGATCCTGACTGCAAAATGTTCAGATCAAACGGGAAGCTTTGATTGAATTAAGTTTTTCATTCAAGAACTTTAATCCTTGGGACATTTGATAAAATTCTGTGATTTCTTTCACATTCTGTTTCATATTGAATACAAACTTCAACAAATTTAACTGAGAACATTTGTTTAAGTGTTTAAAATTTCTCAAAAGTTTTTTTTTTTTTTCTCAAAGTAATGATGTTTACATGTTCTTCAAGTTTTTTCAATCATATGCTAATAAAGGGTTTATACAGTACCGAGTAATTCTAATTTAATGTTTTTTAATGCTCCTAGAACAATACCATCAACAAGTACCCATGACTTTTATATATATATATACACATCATCTTTACCATCAACAGGCTGCAACAATGTCCCAAATTCTTCGTTTTTCAGCCACTTTTGTTAAAATTAGCATTTTTCCCCATTCTTTAGCTTTTTCTCTGTCTTAAACTTCTTTACTGAACATATGGCTTTAAGATCAAACGGAAGCAGTTCCGCTCAAACATGTGGAACACGATATAAATGTGGAACTAAAAATGAAAATGGTTTTAAAAATTTTTTTTTTTTAAGGATGTATTTAAAATGCCATGATAATAGCATTTAAGAAATTTCAATGCCAATTAAGGCCTTAATTTAAAAAATAATAATTTCATGATTTTTAATGACCCGCGGAAACCCTGTAATAATACTGAATGGGAAACTATTCCCAAACTTTGAGTGTTATTTATGCACTATTTTTGCACGTCACGTATCACTTTACTTAGATTTATCACTTTACTTGGATCTATGACTTTACTTGGATGTAGTTTTACATATGCATATATACATATATATATAAAACTGTAACTGGAGCGTGTAGCAAAAGTAATTTCCCTCTGGGAATATTAAAGTATTTCTGATTCTGATGTGCCAAAAGTGTTTTGTTTTCTAAAAATGCAAAAATGAAAGTCAGACATTGCCTTTTAACAA